AAAAGCACAAAAAAAATAAACCTAAACATTCTTAATTTAAAAAAATAAAAAATCATGAAAAATTACATCATCATCCTATTTTTTTTAGGAACTGGCACTTTATTTTCTCAAAAAATAAATTCTAAATCGCAAATAAATAAAGTAGAAATCCAACTTCCTACTTCTGAAACAAGAACATTTCTAGATAATGCCAATAAAACCAGAATCAATAAAGATTGGTCTTTATCCGCAGAATTTAAAAGTGGAATTGGCGAAACGGTTACTTTTTTTCCTGTTCAAATCATAGATTTAGACTCCAAAAAAGAAATCAATGCCATACAACTAGATATGATGGTAAAACAAACCGCGGGTATTTTAGGAGCTATAGGTGTGCAACAAACATATGCGTGGATAGATTACGACGAAATAGATTCTTTTATTTCATTCATAGAAATGAATATAATTCCAAACTTGGATTTAAAATTTAAAGATAAATCTTCTGAATTTATATTCAATGCAAAAGAAATTACACTTATATTTTTAATCCACGAGAAAAAACGAAAACTTACTATCCAACTAAATAGCAGTAATATGTTGCCTTTTTGGACGGAAACTCAGGTAGAAAATTTCCCCAAATTATTACCTATGCTAAAAAAAGTAAAAAATAAAGAGTTGATTTTTGAGTAAATTAAATTTTAAAATTCTAATATTCATTAAAATAAATTAATAAAAAAAAAAAAACATCATGAAAAAAATATTTACCTTTTTATTCGTAAGTATAGTATTTAGTATTAACGCTCAAGATGGAACTTTAGATACTTCTTTCGGAACGGCTGGTCAAGTAAATTACACTATGTTTTCTACTTTGTACAATGTTCAACTTGATCTTAACAACAAAATAGTGGCACTAGGAAAAGATACCGCTGGCAAACCTATTTTGGCTAGGTTTAATTTGGATGGATCACTAGATACAACATTCAACTCTACTGGGGTGAAGGTATTAATCAATACAGATGCATTAGAAACCGCTCCTTCACTTGTAATTGATGAATCAAATAAATATTTAGTGGCTTTTGCGGATAGTTGGAACACCATTTACAGAATAAATAATAATGGTTTATTGGATAACACATTTGGTACGGGAGGTATGTATCAGTACGCAAATCCAAATTCGCATTATGTTGTTCAAATGACTATTGACAATATTTCAAATAAAATTGTACTTTGTCATTATAATAGCAATAATACCAAAATTGAATTATTTAAAGTACTCCCGAATGGAGGAGTAGATACTACATTTAATGCTGGGTTACCCGTTACATTTTATATGTTCACAGGAAGTTCTATTTCTCCAAACTCTATTTTTACAGATGATAATAATAATATTTATATCTCTGGTCCCAGTCCACTTGCTGGTGGATACGACACTTATGTAAAAAAAATATCCTCTAGTGGAGTGATTGATTATAATTATAGTCTGTCATCTGGAAATGGTTCTAGCGAAAGAAGTTATTACTATCCCGGATTTGTATTTGATAGTTCTGATAACTCCTCATATACATTTGGTAGTAATGCAAATTACAAAATGGTTCTATCAAAAAGAAATTCAAGTGGACAAAAAGACAATACCTTCGGTACCAATAGTATTGCTTTATTTGAATTTGATAATAATTATTATAATTACGCAAAATCAATAACTGGCCATGAATTTGGGAGTAGTTTTAAAATAATTTTAGCGGGCCGAACTAGGTTACAATCCAGTACTGCACTTTCCAATATATCGTTGTTTCGTATATTTAATAATGGTAGTATAGATACCACATTTGGTACAATGGGGAAAACATCTGTGGCAACTAATTACTCAAATTATACAGATTATTTAGGGGTTTTTGTGGATTATGATAATGGGAAACTATATACCATGGGGAAAACATCAAACACAGTAGTTAGTTTACACCGATATAATTTAAATTCCTTAATATTATCCACCAAAGAAATAGGAAAAACCACCCTACAATTCTACCCCAACCCTGTGAAATCAACACTCAATTTCTCAGAAGAAATTCATGATATTCAGTTATTAGACTTGAGTGGAAAAGTGGTTATTAAGGAAATCACACCTAGTACCTATATTAATATAGAGCAAGTACCCAAAGGTAATTATATACTCTCCGCAAAAGATAAAAAAGGAAACACAATCCGTGAAAAAATAATAAAAGAATAAATCATCTCATTTCAAGTTTTCATTTTTTACAGAACAGTTGTAGTATTTTGAAATACTGCAACTGTTTTTTATAGAACTTATTCAAGCTAATTGTTCGTATATGTAAAAAACATAGTTTCAATTTATTATTCCCCTAATCTGAATTTGATATAAGTAATTGTCTTTCCTTTTGCAGAAAATAGTTCCTCATAATAAGTTCTGATTTCCTTTAGAAGTGGTGTGCCGGAATCATATTCTGGAGCTCCATAAATATCATGATGTGCCGAGATTATAGTATGTCCCAAGCCATGAAGCAGCCCCAAAGTATATCCATGCAAAAACTCCGAGTCTGTTTTAAGGTGAATAATCCCGTCTTTTTTGATGATTTTTTTATATTTATCTAAAAATATAGTATTTGTAAGTCTATGTTTGGTTCTTTTGTATTTTATTTGAGGATCTGGGAAGGTAATCCAAATTTCATCTACCTCATTTTCTTCAAAAAAACAATCAATGAGTTCAATTTGGGTTCTCAAAAACACTACATTTTCTAGTTTACACTCTATGGATTCTTTAGCCCCAAACCAAAATCTAGCTCCTTTTATATCTATTCCAATAAAGTTTTTATTTGGGAATTTTTTTGCAAGACCCACAGAATACTCCCCTTTTCCGCAACCTAATTCTAGAACGATAGGGTTTTCGTTTTTAAAAATATCTTTTCTCCATTTTCCTTTTAATCCATAGTCAGAAATAGCTTCTTCTCTTGTAGGTTGTAAAACATTGGTAAGGGTTTTATTTTCATCAAATCTTTTCTTTTTATTTTTTCCCATTTTTAGATATTTTTTCAAAAAAAAACTGTCTGCTGTAAAATGCAAACAGTTCTATTAATATTTTAATATTATTTATGGATTTCCTAAAGTAAGAATAATTCCATTATCTACTTTCTTATTAGAAATATATTCTGCTCCGCAAACGATACCAGAAAAACTATAATCTCCTTTCATGACAACAATTGTATTTTCATCATTTTTTGGAACAGGAATTTTGTAATTATTCTCTCCATTTAATTCCACAACTATATCACAATTGGACTCATTTTTAATCATTACGGTTGTTTCTACACTCCCTTCGTCTTTATTTAATAAAGTATTTAACACTTTAATCATTTCTTCTTTCTTTTTATCTGAAGAAACATTCATCAATTGATCAAACTCATTATTATTTATTTTAGATTCATTATTTCTTATTTTATCGAGAGGTTTTGAATCTACTGTTTGTGAATTAAAGCCAATATTTTGGGGATTTGCTTCATTAGAAGTTTTTACAATTTGATCATTTTCAAATTCAATATTTTTATTATGAAATTGTTTAAGTTTATTCTTATAATCTTGAATTTGCTTCTCTTTAATATTTGCTTTCATTTCCTCAAAAGTTACTTTTGTACTTCCCTTATTCATTAAAATAAAACGCATTTTTTGAAGATCTTTTATTCTTTGATCAACAGGATGGGCGTTTTTGATGTACTCATCTATTAAATTAATTAATTTAGATTTCACAAAATTTCTTCTTGCGTCTTTTGGATTTGCATCCCTTAAAAACGCATCTAATTCGTAAATATTGGAGCTGTTAAGTATGTTGTTATAATCTTTATATTTGTATTGAGCAACCATTAAAGACGATAAAAAAACAAATAAAAATATACAACTATTTTTCATAACAATGTGATTTTTTTAGTTTGCAAAAATAACACTTTTTTTTAAAATACGATATTATTAATTTTCATTAAACTAGAATTTTGCAATCTCTTTTGGTAAATGGGAAGATATTTCTCTAGAAAAACTTTAATCATTTCATAATTATTATTCTCTAGAAAAGGCTTCAAGTTGTCTGAACTATATACAAACTGCAAAAAATTACCTATCAAATTTAAAGGTATTTTTAGTTTTATAAAATAATCTTCACCATAATAACTTTTTATCCGATTTATATGGTTCATCATGATTTCATATTCTTTTAGTCTTTTCTTGCGGGTTCTATCACCAGAAAACACATCATAGATTGCATCTACACTCAAAGAAAGTCCACCATTGGCTAAAGACATTACGGGAATATCAGGTGGTAAACCATTTCCTTTGGGGGTCGGTAAACCAATTGCATCTGCCAATTGCATTTTTTTCTTTCCTGTTTTGAGTGTAAGAACATCTTTTTGAAGATTACCACTCGGTCTGAATTTTGAAATAATGATTTCTTCAATTTCATGGTAGGCTACTTTCAACTCAATAAAATGAAGTGGATTTTCTAACAATTTCAAAGTGATTTTATGATCTTCTCTTTCTGTAACTATGCTTGTAAACCGCACCACATCTCCTTCCTTAGCTGAGATACTAAATGAACCATCATAAGTAGATAAAACTGTCTTTTGTGTATTCAGATTGGTAACATAAACTTGATTGAGAAAATAAGTGGATGTATCTCTCAAAAACAATGTACCACTAAAAACCTGAGATTTTAGGTGAACAAAAAAACCCATCAACAACAATAGGATTAAGGAAAGTAATTTTTTGCTAATCATTTTGCAAATGTAATTACTTTTATAAATTCTTTAAATTTTTATACCACTTCAAGATGTTAATTTTCATATAAATTTTAGGTATTATTCTTTAATGTTTTCTAAATTTTCTAAATTTTCTGCCAAAAATAGGTCATTATTCTCCAAGGATAGACTATCTAATTGTAATAATTCTTCCTCTGATTGCAAATATTCTTTTGTATAAAAAAGCTGTTGATCTTTCAGGTGTTCCTTGGCTAGTTTCCTAACTGCAGCTTTGTCCAGGTTTTCAAATCTTTTGCCTAATCTTCTAGCCGCATACCTACGCATTCCCGTTGCTTGTAGCACATCTATTGCCATTTCTACAGCTGTTCCTAGGGTTTCTCTGTATATATTCTCTACACCTTTATTGATGAGTTCATACGCATCCATTCTATTCTTTGCCCTCACAAATATCTTCAAATGAGGGAAGTGAGTTTTTGCTAACTCTACAATATTCTGATTGTTTTCTGGGTCATCTAAACACAAAACCAAAATTTCTGCCGTTTCTGCACCAGCTGTTTTTAGGATTTGCACCCTAGTAGCATCTCCATAATACACTTTCATCCCATAACTGCGGAGTAATTTGACTCGATCAGAATCATGATCCAGTATAGTAGCCTTTATATTATTCGCTCTCAATAATCTACCAACTGCACTCCCAAAATATCCGAATCCTATAATAATAATTTTATGATGTTCAGGATTTTCGGTATCGGTGGGTTCTTTGTTATGATTATCTGTTTGTAAAAATCTAGGGAGAATTAATTTATCATATATCACCAATAATATTGGAGTAAAACACATAGAAATTGCCGTAACGGCTACCATTTGTGCATTTAGTTCAGGACTTATTAAAAATAGTTTCATTGAATAATTGAGTAAAACAAAAGCAAATTCTCCTACTTGTGCAAGTGCAAAAGCAAACCATAAATTCTGATCCCAAGATAGACTAAACACCTTGCCTACGATTACCAATACCATAAATTTAACCAGAATTACTACAATTGTAAGGCTCAAAATAAATAGAGGATTTTGAAAAACTACATCAAAATCTATACTCGCACCCACACTAACAAAAAAAACAGCTAAAAATAGACCCTTAAAAGGATCCACATGGGACTCCAGCTCATGCCGAAACTCACTGTTGGCGAGCATAACCCCAGCTATAAAAGCACCTAGAGCAGGGCTTAGACCTATTGTAATCATAAGTTCGGAAACTCCAATAATTAGAAACAATGAAGTGGCAGTGAGGAGTTCACTCATATTAGATTTGGAGACATATCGTAAAAAAGGAACAAAAATAAATTCACCTAAAATAATAAGAAAAGTCACTCCTAATAAAATTGAAAAAGGTTGTAACCACTCTGGTAGTTGTTGTATCAGCAAATTCATAACTTTTTTCTCTACTGCGGTTTCTGTTTTGGCAATAAGAGGCAAAATGGCCAAAATGGGTATAAATGCAATATCTTGAAATAATAGGGTGGAAAAAGCGGCTTCTCCCGAACTGGTTTTGATGAGATCCTTTTCCTGTAAAATTTGCAAAACCATAGCAGTGGAAGAAAGTGCAAAACACAAAGCCACTACCAAAGCTTGATTGTTTGCCCATCCTGCAAAATAAAAAATAACGACTAGTAATAGCACTGTTAAAAGCATCTGTCCCAATCCTAATCCTAGTATTTTTCTTCGCATGGCCCAGAATTTTTTGGGCTCTAGCTCCAGTCCTACCAAAAACAAAAGTAATACCACCCCAAATTCTGTAGCATGCATAATCCCATCCGTATTATCACCAGTAAGTTGTAATACAAACGGTCCAATAATAATTCCTCCCAAGATATACCCTATTACAGAACTAAATCCCAATTTTTTAGCTAGAGGTGCCATGGTGATAGCGGCACCTAAGAAAATCAGAATCGTCATGGCTACACCCGTTTCCATATTTATCTTTTTAGAAATTTTTGAAATTGCTGTTTTTGTGCTACGATTTGTTTTTTGGATAGTAAATCTACATTGTAAATTTTAAAAACATCGATAATCTTGATATTATTTTGTTGAAGAGCAACTAACAATCCTGAAAGTAATTCAATAATCGTGAACTGAAATGTTCCTGTTTTTTGAAATTGTAGTTCTGAAAAATTAGTGGTTACCAGTATAATGGCTTCTTTGTTTTTTAATGGGTTTTCTTCGTCTTCTTTTTGCCATTTGAGATCAAATACTTCATCAATCCATAATTTTAATAAGGGTGGAATGCCAAACCAAATAAGAGGAAAATGAAAAATTATACGATCGAAATTTTTCAATCTTTTGCGTTCTCTAAAAGCGGGAATATGAAAATCTGGGAACTCTTCGTACAAATCCCTAAACACACAATGGTGATGACGAACATAAAAATTAAGTAATTCTTTATTCGACTGTGAATGTTCCAAATAAGGATGGGCAAAAATGATAAGCGTGTTTTTCAAAATTTCTCATTTTACCAAAAATAAGAAAATTTTTTGTGGAATCAAAATGATTCTTTTGGATCAGCAAAATGTTAACAAGGAAATAGTTTACAAAAAACCAAGTAGTAAAGGGTTTTCGGTTAGCTTTAATTGGTTGTTTTAAGTTGTGGTTGGAGGAAATTTCAAGGTAAAAAATTATAATCGAGCTGGCAAAAATTGATTTGTAATTACTATGAGTTTTACTTTTTTTTTACACTAAATTTTAAAAGATGTCTTAAACAAAAGAAAATTGAAAACTAAAAATAATTATTTAGAAAATGAAGTGTAAAATTTCAAACTCATTATACACGAAAATTTTGGTTAAAACGAACTAAATTTACATCATGTTTTGCTTCGAGTATTCCTAATTGTATCATTTTTTCAAGTGTAATTTGCAAGAAATCATTGTATTTATTTTTTGTCCAAAATATATATTTATTTCTAGGAAAATCATTTGCTTCAATAATATTTAACTCAACTGCAATGAAATATAATGCAATATCTAAATCCGTCCATTCCTTTAAATTTTCTTTTAAACTCATCTGTTTATGAAATATTTTCATATACAATTATAGTTTTTACCAACTTCCAGATGCTCCGCCGCCACCAAAGCTACCGCCACCTCCAAAACCTCCAAAACCTCCGCCACTGCTTCCGCCACTGCTTCCGCCACCTAAGCCACCTCCAAAACCACCTCCGATGTTGGGGAATCCTAAAAAGCCTCCAGGGTAAGTTTTTCTTCCTCTTTTGCTGAGTATAACATCATCGTCATCATCATTTCCATCATTGCCCCCTTTATTTCGGGAAATAATTGATATTACTAGGATCATGAAAAACACGATAATGATAACGGTAAATAAATCTAACCCATCAGAATTTTGGTTGTTTTTGAGTTGAGATTGGTATTTGCCCTGCACTGCTTCCATGAGTGCAGTAGTTGCACCATCTATACCATTATACCATAATCCTTGTTTGAAATTAGGTGTAACGATATAATCCAATATTTGTCCAGTAACAGACGCTGTAAGGTATTTATCTATATCTCTCCCTTTTTGGATTGCCATTTTCCTATCGTCTTTGGCAATGAGGAAAATGATGCCGTTGTCCTTACCTTTTTTTCCTATACCCCATTGTTCTGCGATTTTAGAGGCAAGAAAATTAGCGTCTTCCTCCTTGGTAGATGACATTATATAAATAAAAATTTCTACAGAAGTAGAATCTTCAAAAGCGATTAGTTTTTGGTTTAGTCGTTGTTTCTCTGCATCAGAAAGCAAAGTAATTTCGTCATAAATAGGATACAATACATTTGGTTTTTTGGGAATGGTATATTGCCCAAAAAGTGAAGAGAAAATTCCTAGAATGAGAAATACTAAATATACTTTAGGAGAAACTGATTTCATTGGTAAGTTCATTCGGGTTTTCTCCCAAAATTGGGAAGTATTTTTTAAGTTCTATTCCAGTTTTCATAATGGCTTTTTGCAAGGCTTCAAAATATTGCCCTTGCGAAAAACCTTGTGTAATTTCATCATGCAACTGATCCCAAAACTGCTGATGTACCCTCTCGTGTATGCCCTCATCTCCGATGATGGTCAGGTATTTTTGTTCAAAATTAATGTGGAAAAGCACCGCGTTTCTTTCTGTAGTTTTATACATTTCTAGTTTCTGAAATACCTGAAATGCCGTTTTTGCATTGTGGGTTTCGGTGGTGGAATCTATATGAATCCTGATCTCCCCAGTGGAATGATTTTCAGCCATTTTAATGGCTTCTACGAGACCTACCATTTCTTTTTTGGAGAGATAATTATTCATAATCAATGATTTAGGTGCAGTATTTTCCCTTTTTTAACTAAATAAAATTTTTGTTTTAATTAAAAAAATACAAAAATGAAAAGTAAATATCTTGTTAATACCTACTAATTCGTAAAAACTTCAGGTGCTTTTTCTGCCCCAGCTTCAGATTGGAATTTTGGTTTGGGCAAGAAATTAGTGAAATTTGCGATAATACTTGCGGGTAAATGTTTTACTCTTGTATTATATTCTTCAACCGCTTGATTGAAATTCACCATTTCCACTCTTATACTATTCTCTATTTCGGTATATTCTCTTTGGAAATTGATGTATTGTTGGTCGGCTTTCAGATTAGGATATTGCTCAACCACTGCCATTAATCTACTAAGAGCTCCGGTGAGTTGCCCTTGTGCCGCCTGAAATCTTGCTAAATCTTGTTCTGTCATCTTAGTTGGATCGATATTGATACTCGTAGCTTTGGAACGGGCTTCAATAACGCTAGTAAGGGTGCTTTGTTCAAACTGAGCGTAGGATTTCACGGCTCTTTCTAAATTAGGAACTAGATTGGCTCTTTTTTGATACACCGTTTGTACATTTGCCCATTTGGTACTCACTTTTTCATCCAAAGAAATGAAACTATTGTAGGTAGGAATCGCCCAAAGTAATAATATTCCTACTAAAACTCCTACACCAATTAGCAATGTACCTATACTTAGACAACCTTTATTTTTCATATTTTTTTATTTTAATATTTTAAAGTTCAAATATAAAAATTTTAATCTTATTTTTACAAAAAATTTATCAAAATGACCACGATAGTTGTTGCAATGGGCAAAAATAATGAAATTGGAAAAGGAAATGAGTTACTTTGGCATCTCCCAAAGGATTTGCAGTTTTTCAAAAAAACAACTTCTGGACACCCCATTATCATGGGAAGAAAAACTTATGAAAGCATAGGAAAACCATTGCCAAATAGAACCAATATTATCATCAGCCGAAAAGAAGACTGGTGGATGGAGGGAATCCTAATCGTGGGTAGTATTAAAGAAGCTATCAAATTTGCCAAAAAAATAGATGAAGAAATCTTTATCATAGGCGGTGGCAGTATCTATGAGCAAACCATAGACTTGGTAGACCAACTAAAAGTAACCCAGATAGATGCTTCGCTAGAAGCCGATACATTTTTCCCTAAAATAGATGCTAAAATTTGGAAAAAATCTGAAGAAACATTCCACGAACCCGATGAAAAAAACAAATTTGGGTTGTGTTTTCAAACTTTTGTCAGAAAATAATCTTGTAATACATTATCATTTTTTTGTTCAAAAAACTATCTTTGCGAACTAAAATTTCATTTAAAAAAAATAAATAAAAATGCATAGAAACATAAAATTAGTATTAGCTGCCATTATTTTAGCATTGAGTATCTACCTGATGTTTTTTTCGAGAAGTTGGGGTTGGGGAATTGTGGTTTTTTTCCTAACTGCATTTCCTATATTGTTGTATTTTAAAAACGAATATATTTTGTTAGCATTTTGGTTTCTCAGAAAGCAAAATATGCCCAAAGCAGCTTCGTTTTTAGAAAAAATCACAGATTACAAAACACAATTGCACCGTTCACAGTTTGGTTATTTTCATTATTTACTGGGGCTAACCCAGGCACAGGATCACCCAACAAAAGTAGAGCCTTACATGAAAAAAGCCTTAGAATACGGACTAAACATGAAACAAGATCGAGCTATGGCTACGCTTAACCTTGCAGCAACTGCCATATCCAAGGGTAGAAAACAGGAAGGACAGAAACTATTAGAAGAAGCCAAAAGATTAGATTCTGCAGGACTTATGACAGACCAAATAAAAATGATGAAGGAACAACTCAAAATGCCATCCATGCAAAAACATATCCACAATCCACACATGAGACAGAGAGGAAAGTTTTTCTAAGGATTTTGTTTTTCAAAAAATGGGAATAGAAAAACTTTTACACTTCAATTATTTCAACTTATAATCACTTGCAAAACCAATAATTAAATGAAAAGATCAGCACTTTTCAGATTGCACTTTATTGTATTTCTTTGGGGTTTCACAGCTATTTTAGGAAAGTTGATTTCGGTTAGTGCAGATGTACTAGTATTCTTCAGAATGTTTTTTACTTCTGTTTTCTTATTTCTTTTTTTACGATTTTATAAAAAACAAAGCATCAAGGTTTCTAAAAAATTAGGATTAAAGCTCATTGCTATAGGTGGTACTATGGCAGTTCATTGGTTTTGTTTCTTTCATGCCATCAAGGTGTCTAATGTTTCTATTGCTTTGAGTTGTCTGGCATTATCTACCTTATTTGCTGCAATTTTGGAACCCATAATTTTCAAAAGAAAAATAGATGGCTCAGAAATCTTCATGGGAATTGTGATTGTGGTGTGTATGGCTGTGATCTTCAATATAGAATTACAATACAAATGGGGGGTTTTTTATGGTATATTAGCAGCTCTATTTGGTACAATTTTTTCCGTTTTTAATGGGAAATTATACGGTAAAACTAGCTCTGGAAATATTATTTTTTATGAAATTTTCGGGGGGTGGCTTTTGATTAGTCTTTATTATTTATTGGAGGGTTCTGCATTTTCATTTTCACAAATAGGAGTTAGAGATTTACTCATCATCACATTATTAGCTGGGGTTTTCACGGCGTATCCGATGATGGAATCGGTAAGTCTGATGAAATATATCTCCCCATTTACACTTATTCTCACCGTGAATTTAGAACCTATTTATGGGATCATTCTCGCTTACTTTATTTTTGGAGAATCCGAACAGATGAGTACCCTATTTTACATCGCTTCTTTGGTCATGATTCTCGCTATAGTTTGGAATGCTATCGCAAAATCAAGAAAAGCTATCTCAAAAAGCTAGTTGATCATTTTATTAAAGATAAATTCTTGTTCAACAAAATATCACACCCATAAAATCGTTAGACACTTATGTTTAATTTTCTTTTAGAATAGGAAACCTTCACCATACATTCAAGTTTTTTTATATATTTGAACTTTATTTCAATTGAATTTTCGTATTACTTTTGATACAAATATCCAATGTCAAAATAGGACTATAAAATGAAAAAAATCATACTCATTTGTTTGCTGATAAGTGTTTTTGCACCTTCGCAAATCGTAAGAAAATACTCTAATGAATTTCTAAAAATT